AGAGAAAGCATTCCTCAGGAGGATGGCCATGCCATAATCCATTCTCCATTTCTCCTTTGGGGATTTTGAACATGCACACACGTGCTAGTATGTTTTTCAAGCTACCAGGTCCAGGACTCGAACCATGCTGTTGTCCCTATAAGATACAGCTGCCCTAACCACCACACCACTAGCTGGCCCATAGGTTTTTAAAGAATAAATAAAAATTCTACAGTTGCTGGGATTCTTCAGGGTCAGAACTAAGATCAACGTTTGCTTACTTAAAGTGCCCCAAACTGGAACATTCTTTTATAACCTAGGCTTGTCAGGAGACTCCAAAAAGTGAGAAAAACAGAGTTATCAGGTCCCACATGCACGGGTCTGCCAAGATTCTCTGGGTTTATTCACAACAGTGTTGGAGCAACACTAATTTACATGGTGAACCTCTGTTTTCCTAGCTATATAATGAAAGCAACAGTTTGCCCGATGTTTGAAGTATTCCACGTGACAATGTGTTTCATAAAGGGCCTATGAATGTTATCTAGCGTCACTGTTCCCAGATGGACAGACTCATAAGCCCACCAGGGAAGAACCCAGCTGAGGGGCTTCCAGATTTCCCTGATGAGGAGTTATTTTAGATTTCCTCAAAATCTTTTGATTACTGCCAAAAGAGAAGAGGGCTTGCAGCTGCTGGCCAGGTGATCTCTGGTCCTTGCCAGGAATCCTGCCTGACAGGGTGGTAGGTGTGGCTGCAGCATCAGCCAGGCTGGTGACAGGCTGACACACAGCTCTGGGATCAGCCTGTCCAACTGCTCTGTCCATTCGCCTAAAGGACCTCTAAAAGCCCAGTGCTTGGAAGAGAAAAGAGCAAGCATTGACCTGGGATTCTGTGGCCTCCAACTTTATAGGCTTACAGGTATAGGTAGGAAAAAAGGGAAAATTAGGACTTCTGTTTCTCTCTGTCTTGGTCTTTATATACACATGTGATTTATTTTTTATTTATTTTTTTTTAAAGGTTTTTGCCATAAGGAACATGTGCTTGCTGGAGAGTGGTAGAGAGAGGGAAAGTGAGAAATCACCTGCAGAAGGGCTAGTCACACCTTCTCCTCCATTCTCTTCTTGGGATTTTGGGCATGTACACACATGTGCCCAGAGTGATTTTTAAGCTGCTGGGTCTGGGACTTGAACCATGGTCAGCCATGTGGGAATCCAACACCTTAACAAACATGCCACCTGCTGGCCCCTGGGCCCATATACATATATTTGTGTGCATACGTACATACACACACACACATACACACACATACATATAGGTATACACACATATGTACACACACACACACAAACACGTACATACATATATATGTATATATAAAGATAGTGTCTCTCCATGCCACAATCCTCCTGCCTCAGCCTCCTGGCCAGGACTACAGATGTACACCAACATACCTAGTCTTTAAGTTGGGCTGGGAATTAAACTCAGGCTTCCCATGTGCTCCCAGGCTATGTGGAGCACAGCAGCTTGGCAGCATGCGCCACCACAACTGGGCCTACCTGTATTTTTTAGCTAAAAGATGTACTGCGGTGAGGGGAAAGGGAGCATTGCTTAATACAGACTTTCAGTTTTTGCAAGATGAAAAGAATTCTGGAGGGGCCAGCAGAT